AAAAATGCAAATAATTCTTGACATTTCTCACAGGCATAAGTATGTGAAGCATTACATTCACCAAATGCATATGGTAGACAATGGTTTATGCATATGTCATGAGAAGTCATTCCACGATCAGTTACCACTAAATGTTGCTCATATTCCTTTTTCAAGAATCTTTGTAATAATTGACAGTGCTGGGAAAAGGTATTCTAAATTAATTTATTATTTAATGAATTATTAGTATTAATCACAATCATGTAATTTATTCATGGTTTATTAAATTATACCTGCAATCCCACATTATTTATTTTTTCTTTAATTAGATTCATAATATCTTCAAATGTTTCATACCCATATGTGCTACATGTAGAACACAACCCTCCAAGATCTTCTCTATAAACATACTGATTACCCATGAGTTTAGTGTAAAAAGTTGATCTTTTGATGCCATTCGGATAAGTATGGTTGAATTTTTCCCATAATGCACTTTTTGTATTTTTTAGGTATAGTACTGGTTGGTTTGTTTTAGCGTCAGTTTTATACGAACTCATTATGACATGTGCTTTATCTTGAAAAAAGGTATCAAATTGTTTTCCTTGTTCATCTGTAATTTTTTTTCTTTTTATAATGGGCTTTTCTATTGCTGCACAACCAGGGCCATTAATTTGTGCATATTTTTTAGCTTCAAGAATTGTACCTTGTGACACCTATAATGAATTATAAAAGAATAATTATATCAAGGTAATTTAAATGGTACTGATTTTTTTATATTTTAATTCTTACTTTCAATTTATCCATTATAACTCTATAGGGAAATTTTTCTGCTATAATGGAAAGGATTCTTTTTTTCCATTATAACCTTTTCCATTTGCTTTTGTAGATTGATTAAAACAATTGCATAAAATTTCACCATCATTGCGATGTCCTTTAGGAAATGGATTCAAAAACCCTGAATCAAATAGAAATTGTAAATTTTCACAATCATATGTTGGATTGGTGGATCTTGTCCAAAATTCATACTATCAATAAAAAATCCAAGTTAAGTAATATTTTAAACCAATTAATTACTAGTAGAATTTATTTTAAACCACAAAATGGCTTACTGTTGATATATCATTACTGTATGGTGTTATATTTGTACATCCAGAATGAGATAACATAGCTCTCCATGCTCGCATTTCTCTTTCTTTAAATTCATGATTTGGTGGATAGATTTTTTTTAAAGCAGTGGTGATTTCAATGATTGTTTTTTTGTCATTGTACCATTCAATAAAAAATTCATTCCATGGTACTGAAGCTAATGTACATTTTCGTAAGTGATAATTCCATAAATGTTCCATTTTGCTAGCAATATTCCATTCTTCAGGCAAGCATTTAGGTACTACACATATTGTTTGAATGAATGATTGAACTTGAGATTGATTGATGCCAAATAAGTCAATACCTTTGTGGTTTTTTAAATATCCAACCTTTTCCCACACATCATTTGGGTTACTACCAACATGTGTAGACATCAATTTATGATCTTGATAAATTTTTACAATGGAGTTTTTATAATTTATCTCTTGTACAAATAATGTCTTCTTTTTCTCAAACCCTATTACACAAACAAAAGAAGACTTAAATCCTGGACCTACATTACACATTCCATCATCTGAGGACACACCAATTCCATAAATAAATATTGTGAATTTATTGTACATGCAATTAAATGGACAAAATATTACATCTGTTAACAATTGATTATTAATTTCTGGTTTATCATGTCCTATGATAAGAGGTCCTGAGAATTTTGTTTCAGAAGAAGGAAACAACTGCTTATAAAGTGTAGTTACAGCAGCTGAAACATTATCAAAAATATCACTTGTTAAGTTATTTGCTTCGCATATATAGCCAGGTTTATGTAAACAATCTTTATGGCCTTCAATAATTGTGATAAAAAAATGTGTTTTATTAAGTATAACTAATGTTTTCATATTTATTCTAATAGGATATAAAATAGAATCATTATCAGTTTGTCTGGTCTCCCATCAATATTGAGAAAAATCACCAAAATGTAAATTTTCTTTCAAATGGCCAAGAAACTGGGTAACTTTTCCTTTTACTCATGATTATTTTGTGTTTTTATTAAAAAAATGAAAAAGGTTATGCTTAAAAAATATAATTTTTCTTTTTAAAATAAAAAAAAATTTATCGCGGTCGCGTAATTTTCTTGACTCACGTTGGTCGCGTGAGGTAATGTCAGATTCTCAAAACTCCTGAAAATTATAATGTTTATTATCGCAGTTGTTTCACAGATTACGAATTAACTTAATACAATGGAACAAATTACAATAGATAGGATTCATGTTTTGAATTTTTTTTTTGTATATATATATATAATTTAAAAATTTTTAATTAGTGTCACATGAGTCACCAATATGTGCAGCCAATAAAATGCTTTAATTCCCTAAATGCACACCCTCCTTAAATGCACGCTCCCACTCATTCCCAAGGGAGGTACACTTAGAGGGGGTTGACTGTAACATCATAATAGAATATTTTTTAAAATGTTTTTATGTAAATTTATAGAAAATAATATTGTATTCAAAGACCAGATTAGATACTTGTTTATTGCACAAAAAATTGAAATTTGGCCTATAGCGACTAGAAGTAAAATCACACTAATGTTAAGATCGAAAAGATTAGCAGCATATTTTTATTCATTAATCAGTTATTGAATCAAAGGAAAAATTATAAATTACCGTAATTTAAAATAGACCCTAACCACTTTTCAGTTTCTTCTAAATCTTTCCCAATGCGTTCTGTGTAACTCGTAACCTAAAAATCATTTGAATAATATTTCATGAAATCTTATTAAAAAATAATTAATAAAAATAAAAAACTTTTTTAAAATTTTACTTGGTCTTTTTCAATTTTTCCTACTGAGAAATATTGCGATTCTGGGTTTCCAAATACAAGTGCTAAATAATATAGAGTTAAATATAGAAAGTGAAAATAATCTATATATATATATATAAAAGAAATTTATATATTTTCAAATTACCTGATACACTTGCTGCAGGTAACATGGCTAATCCTTCTGTTAAATCAATTCCAGTTTCTTCTTTAATATTTAAAAATTTCCACATTGTAATCTTTTCCCTATGGTCTGGCTGAGAAGGATAAGCTGGCGCGGGTCTAATCCCTTTATATTTAACACTTAACATGTCGCTTAAAGTCAAATCTTCATCAGGACAATATCCCCATATAGTTTTACGCATATCTTCGTGTAAACATTCTGCAAAAGCCTCGACAAATCGATCTGCTATTGCTTTTGTCATAATGACATTGTAATCATCATGATCCGTCTCAAATTTTTTAGCTAAATCTTCTGCACCAAATATTCCAACTGCGAAGAGCCCTAAATAATCAGGGATATTGGTTGATTTTGGTGCTATAAAATCTGATAAACAAAAATATGGTTCGCTCTGTTCCTTTTCTGCTTGTTGCCTAAAAAAATTTTTTTCGGTTATTTTTTTTTAATGAAAATAGCCCCGTTAAATAAAAATTACCTTAACCCAAAGAAAGTGCAAGCAACTTTGCTCCTATTTTCATCTTCATAAACCTAAACAAAATAATAAAATTTTCATTACCTAATAATGATGATATTAATTAAGTTAATTGTAATATGCAAAATACCTGAATATCATCGTCAACACTGTTCGCTATTATTTTAAATAATAAATATTATTAATAGTATTTAAATTGAAAATATAAGAAAAATATGCTTACCAGGATATATTCCAACTATTCCTCTAGCATTAAATAATTTATTATCAATGATATTTTTAATAAGAATGCGTGCTTCTTCGTAAATTTTTTTAGCTTCAGCCCCTATTAACATTTGAACGTTAATAAATACAGTGTAAATGAGAAACATATACTTATTTAACTATTAAAAAACAAGAAATTTAAAAAAAAATTCATTTGTAAGCTTACCAACATGTTCATCATTAAATATTTTTGGAAATCCTCGATTAGGATACCTTCCTCTCAACTGCCTATCAAAAAAAATTTTTTTACATTATGAAAAAATCAACACGACTATCATATAATATTAGGACGGCAATAACTACCAGACTTGAAAGAATGGATTCCAATCAATATATTCAGATATTCTCTTTAAGTCATAATTTTCAAAAATTCTTTTACCGATAAGATTAGGTTTTGTAGGTTTTTGTATAGACCAATCAATTTGGAACTTTTTTTCTCTAGCTGAATTTAATGATAAATATTTTCTATCTTTTAATGAAGAAAAATGATCCTCTCTAATTTCCGAATATTCATCACTTATATCATCCCAAAAATCTTCTTTCGATTTTGGATCTAATAAATTGGAAACCTAAAATTTTGATTTAAATATTTTAAAATTTTGTTTAAAATTGAATGCCTATAATCACAGAATTTCTTCATATATACAAACCACTACAACACTTTTCGATGCGTCTAATACATGAATGGTAGGTTGACTATATTGTGGAGATATCTTGACTGCAGTATGAGCCTTTGACGTAGTAGCACCACCGATTAATAATGGAACCTACCAAATTGATAAAATTTTAAATATATTGCTAAAGAAAAACTTAAAAAAAAGATTTATCATTAATATGGCGAAAAAATACTTTTAATTGACGTTTTTCCATTTCTCTAGCAACTGTAATCATTTCATCCAACGATGGAGTAATTAATCCTGACAACCCAATAACATCAGCCTTTTCTTTTATTGCTGTATCGATAATCTTTTCACACGGTGTCATAACACCCAAATCAATAACCTAGATTATTGATATTGATATTGATTATTGGGTTTATTTCTTTTGAAATAGAATTTTAGCAATCACATGGTATATACGCGCACACACATATATTATTAATACCTTGTAGTTATTACAACCAAGTACAACTGCAACAATATTTTTTCCAATATCATGTACATCTCCTTTTACAGTAGCTATCACTACAACTCCTGCATTTTGTGGACCTGTATCTTCAGCATCAGGATTTGCAACAAGCTCGGCTTGCCTTTCTTCTTCCATAATTGGAATCAAATAAGCCACTGCCTTTTTCATTACTCTTTTTTATTGTTTTAAAATAGTGTTAAATAAAAAAATTTTTTTGATCGAATAAACATTTATTAAAAAGTAAATAAATATATTTTTACCTTGCAGATTTGATAACCTGTGGTAAAAACATTTTTCCTATTATTTAATATAAAAAAAAGTGCACATAAATCTAAATAATTTAACAAGTTATAATTGATTATTTATATACATAGGCATAAACAATATTAACGAACCTGCTCCAAACAAATCGCCAACTGTACTCATGCCATCCATTAACGGTCCCTCAATAACACTTAAGGGCTTTCCCAACTAATATATATAATTATTATAAGTAACAATTTTTATTAAATAAAAATAAGAATATGCTAGTTTTTACCAGTTGCCTAGCTTCTTCAGTATCCTCAACAATATATTTAACATTACCCTTGACTAAAGCGTGGGAAATTCTTTTTTTTACATCTAACTTTCTCCATTCTTCTTCTTCTGTTTCTTTTTTAGAATCTTTACCAAATTTCTGAGCATAACTTAAAATTTTTTCTGTAACATCAGGATCTTTATTCCAAACCGCATTTTCACATAATTCCAATAGATCTTTTGGTATTTCATCATAAATAGTCAAAAAACCTGCATTAACAATGCCCATATCAAGACCTAATTTATATTAAAATAAATAATTTAATAAATAAGCAAACATTATTATATATGTGTGTGTAAATAAGATATTAAGAAATTACTGATTATTTTTAATTAAAAATACCTGCTTTGATCGCATGAAAAAGGAAGACACTATGCATAGCTTCTCTAATTTTGCCCATTCCACGAAATGAAAATGATAAATTTGATATACCACCACTAATCTATTTTATCGTTATGTACATAAAATATATAGTTAGAAATTAAAATGAATTTTTTGGAATTCATTTAATTCTAAAATAATGAAATACAATTGATTACTTTTGCTCCAGGTAAAGTTTCTTTAATAAGTTTAGCAGCCTCAATAAATTCTACTCCATAGTTATTGTGTTCTTCCATACCGGTACATATTGTCAAAATATTTGGATCTAATTTTTAAGAATTAAACCCCATTGTTGATTTTGATATTATTGAAATTTAAGCAAAAAAAAAAAAAAACAGGTAAATAGTGTTACCAAAAATAACATCATTGTTGTTGAATCCAACGGTTTTTGTTAATATATTATATGACCGAGTACAAATTTCAATTTTACGTTCTTTAATATCTGCTTGACCTTGTTCATCAAACTATTTTAAATAGCAAAGTCGAGTAAATGAAAATTTAAATTTAAAATAATACCATGATTTTGCTTGTAACTTACGGCCATAACAATGACTGCTGCTCCAAATCTTTTAATAATTTTTGCTTTTTTAATAAAATCAGCCTCACCCTCTTTCAAACTAATACTGTTTACTATACATTTACCCTGTGCACATTTTAAACCTGCCAAAACTACCTCAAAATTTGATGAATCAACCATTATTGGTAACTGAAATAATCAAATTAATATTGATAATTTGTAAAGTTAAAACCATTTTTCTTTCCTTTTTTTTTTTAAAAAGTAATTTTAATGGCAATAATAATAATAATTTGTAAATAATTTTAAAAGAGCACTACACCTTTGAAACATCCGGGTCACTTGCAATTAAATTTAAAAACCTTGTCATAGCAGCTTTACCATCCAACATTCCTTCATCCATATTAACATCAATAACTTGTGCACCACTTTCAACTTGTGCTTTAGCTATGGCTAAGGCTTCTTCAAATTCGCCATTTAACACATGCTTGGCAAATTTCCTTGAACCGGCAACATTACATCTTTCACCCACATTTACAAAATTGCTTTCTTTATTAATTTTCAGAATTTCTAAACCAGCCACAACCAAATTATCTAAACTAATATCAGGCGGGGGAACTCGTGGCTTATATTGAGAACATACTTTTACGATGGCTTCAATATGCTGAGGTGTGGTACCACAACAACCCCCTACTATATTAATCAAACCCTCTTTTGCAAACTCATGTATAGATTTTGCCATCATTTCTGGTGTTTCATCGTATTCACCAAAAGTATTTGGTAGACCTGCGTTTGGATAACAGAGCACATATGAACTTGTAAAATTTGCAATATTCCTAATAAATGGCCGCATTTGATCAGCACCCAATGCACAATTTAATCCTATCGCCAAAGGTCGAGTGTGAGAAACACTTGTAATAAACGCTTCTCCAGTTTGTCCACTTAAAGTACGTCCTGATAGATCTACAATTGTGCCAGAGATAAGTACCGGCACTCGTTTATATGCGCCTTCTTCAAAAAGTGTATCAACTGCATAAAGAGCTGCCTTTAACACATAAATAAATAACCATTAAAATTATTGTTCCATTTATTTAAAAGTGCATTAATTTATATAAGTTCTTTCTATATAGACTAAAAAATACTTTAGCATTTAAGGTATCAAAAATAGTTTCAACTAAAATAGCGTCAGAACCACCATCCAAAAGCCCTCTGGTTTGTTCCGTATATGCCTCGACCAATTCGTCAAAAGTAACGTTACGATAAGCAGGATTTTCTACTGAAGGTGAGATAGAACACGTACGATTTGTTGGACCGATTGCACCACAGACAAATCTAGGTTTTGTTGGATCACGTGCAGTAACCTGAATTGAATCGTTAATATTGTTTTTTCTAAAAAATATCTATGTACATATGTGATTAATTCAAGGGATGATCACCTCAAGACATGCTTCTTTGGCTAATTTAGCAGCTTCTTTGTTTAATTCATAGGCCAAATTTTCACAAGCATAATCTGCTTGACTGATAGAAGTACTACTAAAAGTGTTAGTTTCAACGAAATCAGCACCAGCCTCTAAATACTTTATATGAATATTTCTAATATGTTGAGGCTGTGTTAACACCAAAAGATCGTTATTTCCTTTGAGATCTTTAGGATGATTTAGAAATCTCTGTCCTCTGAAATCATCTTCCGTTAATTTTAGTTGTTGTATGACTGTAGCCATACCACCATCAAGATACATAATACGAGTTGACAATTGTTGTCTAATATAAGACTCTAAATCTGGAATTTGTATATCCATTTTTTATCTTGAAAAAAAAATTAAACGCTGTGCCACGCGCAGCTTAAATAGAATGTAAATTTACACATTAGCATTATTAGTATTAATTTTCCAATGAAATTGTTTACATTTTAAATCACATGCTTAGTTGGAATTCTCGCGTTTTTTATTAGATATTTCGATTTTACATGTATTTCATTAAATTTGTTCATAACGGCTGAAGCTGTTGGCTCTTGTCAGTTTACCTTTGGTAATGGAAATAGGTGTTCGTGTTCTTGCTTACAAAGCATAGTAATAATAATAACACTTGTAAATTTGTAGAATCTTTTCATCAAATAATCATTGAAGAGGACATGTTAATATTAATGGATTCCCTCTTTTAATGCTTAAAAATCCAAGCCAAAGAACAGAACGAATAAAGCAAATGTTATGCCATTCTCTAATTTAAAAAGCGCTTCAAATAATTTAAATTATTATAATAATAATAGATCTGGCACAACAAATTTTATGAATTTATCGAATTATTCCATTATCGAGAGTCGTTCTTTAATAATGAGAATAGGAAATGTATAGATATTTTCTATAAAAAGATAGCTAAGGGCTCCTCACAAATTCTACGTTTTTCAAGAAAAAGATAAATGGTTTTTCTCTCAACTGAAACTTTATTATCATCTGTATTTCTACACCTAATTTGATAGTTTGTTAATATTAACAAGGGGAAAATTTTGAATTTACTACTTACGTAATGCGACTTTTATGATACTCATTAACACATGTTACTTTACTTGTCAACGCTTCTTCTTTTAGAGATATGTAACAAGAAGGTCAGCAACATCCAAGAAATGTAAGTTGGCTTGTAAAAAACAGATTGTTAAGGATACTACAAGAGGAAACAATAACAATGATAGAGACGTTAGCTGGATATGAATGGTTTTTGACCCCATTACCTTAGTTGTGCGAGTCGGCTCATTGTGTGAATTTGTAGTAGCAGGGGCTGGGAACTTTTGTTTGCGGTTCGCACAACGTTGCTGCTGTCATAAATTTGAGGCATCTGTAAAATCAGTATATTGCATTACGTAATAGGTAAATTATTAATTGGTATTAAAATATTTCAAATAAAAACACAACGATAATAATCCCAACTTGTGAGTTACATAAATATAATAGACATTTATTGTTGCAAGTCAATCGTAATAATTAATTGAAAATTTATTTTATAATACTGTAAAATTAAATTAATAAATAGTTAATTAAAAATGAATTATAAATACAAATGAACGAATTAATTAATTAATTAATAAAAATATATAAATAATATGATATGAAAAATATTATAATGTTAATTAATATGCACCAAATAATCTTCCACTAGAATTATTGTTGATTTCACAATATAATCTCATCGCCTCTCTCATTTCAATAAACAATTGTGTTGTTAAATCGTTTTCCTGCATCATTAATGGTGGTTTATCAAACATAGAACGTGCTTGTTTTATTTTGTGATGAAACTCGGGATTTTTGCTTCCATCCTAAAATACACAATATATATTAAATTTTCTAAATTACACATATTTGAGTCAAGCAATTAATTGACTATTAAATAATACCTCAATTATCAGACTATCTAATAATGTAGCCCATTCATGTGAGTATAACATGACAATATCAGATCCAGACAAATGAAGAAATGTTATTAAATCCATAAACATTTCCCAATATACTATTCCATTCGGCTATTTAGAAATAATAATAATAATTATTAACATCTTTCTAATCATTTAAATATAAATATACAACTATATTTACTACATCTACATCTACATCTACATTATACATAAATGAATATATATATATAAGCATTTACATACTTGAACTTCTTTATCAACAATACGCGACACCAACTGCGTGTTCATAGAAGGCCAAATAATGTTCCAAAATCTTCTTTCAGCCATAGTTAAAGAAGTTGCAAGTCTTAGATGCACTTTAGTTACTTCGGCAGCATTTGTTTTGTCGTTTGATGAGGATGTTTGAGCACATAATACCGTCCATATTTTTATAAACACAAATGCCTGGTAAACTGACTCTCCAGATGGTGTATACAGATAATTCATATCCGGTACTATAATTTCGTTAAATGGTTGACTCATAAAATGTGATAATAAATCAGTGAGGGTATCTTGAAAATCAAATACAGTCGTAATAATTGTAATTAGCCCAGGTGAAGGATCAGATTTAATTATTCCCAATAAAATCCAATTTAAAAGACGAATAGTCCGTCGTGGATCCGTTGGCTTGTTTATTCAAAAATTAATTTGCACAATGTGAATATTTGTTTAGAGCGTATTTCATACATAATAATAAAAAACTATAAGTTATCGTTTACCTTTTGCGATAAAAATATTTTAGTCAACAAATCATATTTTAAACCACACATTGCCACTGCTAACTGACTAGCGCACACGCCTACTTTAAATTCTTTTTTGGAATATTGTTTAGTCACATGAGGATTTTCCAAAAATTGTATACAATCATCAAATAAATTATCTACAACATTTGAAAAGTATGGAAGTCGTTGATTTGATACATTGGCAGATGATAAACCTCCGTCGTTATTACTAGTAGTATTGTCATTTAACCCGACGCCCATCTTTAGTTCAATACTTTTAAACCAGGAATGCGATGAAGGTTGCATATCCCATAATATAAGCTATAAACGCGTATGTATATATGTACATACACATATATATCGTTAGTTAATTTTATTAATTTGATCGACGTTAACATTTGAATGAATGTATTAGTTAAACAATTAAACCTGCGACAAAATTATTAGGGTATCTCGACTCATTCTTGATCTAGAACCTCTAAAGGTTGATTTAACTTCTTCAAGAATTACTTCACCAAAAACATTAATTTTATCATCTGGAGAAATTGTTTCACTGACTGCTGTATAAGCTGCTAACAACTTTAAAAATGTATCTATCCTAACAGAGCCTTTGTTAATAGAATGTCTTAAAAAACCTTTTATTGGCGTGACTAAATTCTATAATACAAGTAACATTAAACAAGTCAAAAAAATATCATATTAATAATGAAACGTTATATCTATATATTTGTAAACTTGTGTAAATATATGTGTGTGTGTAATGTTATCAAACCTTGGAGTAAACAGGATTATCTCTCATTATTACTGCAATCATGTTCAATACAGGGTTAACATCCCAATCAGCAAGTTTCCACTCACTAGTATGTCTTGTCAACTTTGTCAAAAATTGACTCAAATCTAATAAATAAAATATAATATTAATTCCTATAGCTTTATTTTTTTTTTCATCATAAATATTCATAATTACCGTTTATTAATTGTTCACTGTATGGTTTTGAATAAACCAATTCTACATATTTATTTAGGTTTGACAGAATTGTTGAGACTATCCTTCTATTAGTGAACTTAAACAATTGGTTAATAACATCTCGTATCGGTTCATCACGGAGATATCTTGGACCAAAACATTCATCCTCAACTGGGATTTGTTCATCGCGAATAACATCACCAAGTAGTTTAAACATATTAAGTTCGGTGTTATTTTCATCTCCAACTGCTTGATTCTAATTGATTATCATAATATAATATTATGATCATTAATTTCATTACCATTATTATTATTTTATTAAAAGAATAAAATACTAAATAAAATATAAAACCTTGAATATTAGAACAAATAAACCGTTCCTTGCAAATTTAAGAAACGTGCTTTTCAAAAAATTAACTGCACTAACAACCAAAGCATTTGATGAGTCAGCCTTTAAACTTGTCAAGAGCTTTGCCAATGTAATTATTTGTTTACCAAGTATATTAACTGTTAACATGGGCGCACGTTTTAACAGTGATGATGAAAGTTCAACTATAAGTTGTTTATTTTCATCTGTAATATCTTTAGACAATAATTCAGACAATTTTTTCATTGCGCTCACTAAACTTTCTTCTAGCTCACGATTATACTTATTTTCAATTTTGTGCTATATGATAAAATACATTATTAAATTAAACAAATATAGATGTATGTAAAATTAAAAGACGCTAAAAAAAAATCGCGTTAATAATTATAGTATACCTTGTAAACTATTATAAGCAACAATTCAATCCAAGTTTTTAACATGAGATGACTTAAACTTGTCATATCTGCAGAAGAATTAAACATAGCTAACACAATCTCTATAAAGTAACCACCTGCCAACATTTCATTTTCAGATGATGCTTTGCCATCTTCTAACTCTTCTTTATCGTTATTAAGATATATAGGCGTATCAAGTACTCTTTTGAGATTTCCTAAAATGGATACCATCATCATGTTTTGGGTAAAATCATCAGGAACATAACGAAACTCACCAAAATGAAAACTCATCACTCCATTGGAGTTATCTATCCTACTATCAGTAAACCCCAAGTTGTGCGCAACAAAATATTTGAGTTTGATAATTTGTTCCAAATTCATTTCAATTCCATTAGCCAGCATTTGTAGAGCAAGTGACAATAATATAACCTTTTTATTGTTATTTTTTTTTGAATAAAGATATAACAAGGTTAGATTATCACTTAAATAAATAAACAATGTTAACAATATTATTAATGATTCGGTTGTTTATACCTTTAAATTCTTCTCTTCTGCTACCCTTTGACCAGGAGTTGTATCAGAATCTTCGTGATAATGTTTCAAGCCTATAATAAGAATACTATTTGGTCTCATATAACTTTCCTTTTTAAAAAAAAAAAATTTAAATATTATAATTTTTTCTCTTTTCCTTTTAAACATACATATTAAAAACCTTTTAATAAAATATGTACCAATATATCAACAGTAGACACTGCTTCTGATTCATCACTTTCATGAGACAACGCATCCAATAATACATCCCATTCAATTACTATATAAAATAATAGAATATTTTATTTCATAAGATATATATGGATGAATTGAATCAAACTTTTTTAATTACCAGCTATATCTTTTTTTTTTTCATTTACCTTGCCAATTAGGAAATTTTGCGTTTAATTTTAACATTAATCTGGCCAATACGGTTTTTTCACGTTGTGATGCAACCTTGAAATATCCTTCCCAACATTTAAAAGCCATTTTGATTCTTTTGGGTTGCATTGTCCTGATATATGATATTGTCTTCGTTCTGACATATTCCTTTAGTAGAATAATAAATTATATTAAGATCAAATAAATAATTATAAGAATACTGTTTAAATAGAAAATTCACCTCAGGATCCCACAATAAACTAATCATATAACTAAAAACCGGCCCAAGGTAAGCAAAGACGCCTGTTCTTTGCAATTCAAATTTTTCATCCAATTTAGAAAAGAGTCCATATAAATTGTCCAACCCGTCAAACCTATTATAGAGGATTAATATTATTTTAAATAAATAATAATAATAACAAAATAATAATAATGATAGGTACTAAAAACTATATTTACCTCACTTCCCAACTTTCGTGCTCAAAAACTTTACTAACAGAAGCTAGGAAAAATCGAGAATCAGTCCAAATAATCCTCATTAAAAGTAACATTGTAATTTCTGAAGATGCATCGTATAAAGGCGAAAGTTCCTCCCATACACTTGATAAAAATTATCAAAAATCTTAATAAGATGCATTATTTTTAAAATATATATGAATTATATATAATTATGTATTCTCTCACATAGGCAATAACTTTGGTATACAACTATTAATAAATTCTATCTTATTGAAAATAAGACTTGCAGCAGTGAAAAATCTCCAAAATGATTTTACTACATCGCTACGTATTTCCAATTTTTCTAATCTTGCATAAATTAATAAGCATTTAATTAAGGATGTATCAGATGTAACATTCGAACCAGGAGTCGGATCTTGCAAATGTGAAATTCTTTTAGGTAACCTGTAATTATTGTTAATTTTGTTCTAGTTAATTAAAATTTTGCAGATAATTGAAATTTTTTTTTTGGTTTGTTTCATACATTTGTCCGTTTGGTCTTTCATTGGGTTCTTCTACTATTCCTAAATTGTAAATATAATCTAGAGGACAACTATATGAATGTAATGATAACGCTAAAGTAATTTTGATAAATTTTCTAGCGCTATATACAAAAAAAAATCAAAATTTCAATTAAAATAAATTATTTTTTCTTTAAAATAAAATACTAAAGATAAACAACTTTGATCTTACATTAACATATCAGCACTTTGACCTTCTTCATTGATTTTCTTTATCATATCTAAAGTCGCCTCATTTACATCAGATATTATTTTAAGAATGACTCCTCTTGTCATAAGGTGACCAAGTCCATTCATTACTTGATACCATATGACATGTAAATAAGAAGTATACAGTTCAAGTGATGGCTCAATTTTTGCTAAAAGTGGTAGAAAATCAGAGAATACTGAACCAGGAAGCCCAACACTAATAATCAAAAAAAAAAACTTTTATATAGGATTTTTTTTTTTTTTGAATTATAAATTTTTTATTTTTATTTTTATTTTTATTCTTTAGTTACCCTGCTCGCACCATCAATTCCATCCATTGTACTGCACGTGAAAGCTCAACAGCGCCTCCTTCTTTGAAAAGTTGTGATAAAGTTGCGATTGGATCGGTAATATCAAGATTGTTATTTTCCGCATGAATAAGGATTTGGTCTGTGGTACTCTGTCTGTTGGAAGGGATTTTAGAAGCACTAAACATTTTATATAAAGTTTTTAATTCAACAAAAGTCTAAAAAATATCATATTAAAATAAATCTTTAGTTTAAATTAAATTAAATCAAATCAAATTATAATGTATGACTAAATATATATATATAATTATTGTGCCTTTTGTTGATTCCTTAATATTTGATAAACATCATCTAACCAAAGAGAAATCAGATTGTTTAAAGATGAAAAAAGTAAACCATTATTCCAAAGTTTAATTATATTTTTTAAAACAATATCATAATGATGAAATTCATTTTCCTGTTATAATAATATAATTATGGAAATATATTAATCTTTTTTCGTAAATTTATGTGCATGTGTATTAGTAATAATCACCATTGATTCTTGTAGATTTCCTTTTTCATTTTGATCTTTTTGAAGTGATTCTAATTGATTATAAACTAAATCACAAAATAATGTAGGATTTATTTCATGTATTTTTGACATCCAATTTACAACATATTTCTCCTTTAACATTTTACGACTAATAATATATGCACCACCCCCAGAATAATTGTGTAAATAAGTGCCACCTTTTTGTTGTGTACTGGAACCACCAACACCTGCCCTTTTGTCTTCCATTTCATCACGAACACCGGGAAGCTTACGTTTTAAAGGGATATACTCTCTTGCAATTTTTAATAATCTATCATCCTCACTACAACTCCAATCAATTACAGCAAAAATTAAACGTTCCAGTGTATATCTAGACAAAAATGGATCAGGAAAGCAACGACGGGTCATAATTAAAAATCCACATTCATTTATTGATATATTAATGTCTGATAAACATCCATAGATTGCGGTGATTAAAGTCTCTACCGTTGGAGAGCATTCTGTGGCAAAAGTTAAGGGGAACAAACAATCGTATTCAATTTTCCCGTCAACAGCGTTATGAAACAAAATTGGGTGACCATCAATTCTTTCGATAAAACCAAAATTAGCCATTTGTTGTAATAAAATTTTTGCGGAAAATTTTTTATGAAAATTCAATTTCTTTTGAATCCATTGTACCAATTCATCAGTAGTGATGATCTCGTTTGAACCATAGTTATCATCTTGTGAATATGAGTTCATTGTTGTTGTTGGCAGTAATGACGATAATGTATTTGCTGTTTTGGTACTTGAACGTTTATCATTAGTGGAGGCAAATATAATCTCGGAATCAACAGAAGTTTTCATTATTGAAGCCAAATGAGCAAGATATTCTTCACATGATAACAACCACATGTGTGGTTCTCTTCCCATTCCGCTCCAATATTCTTTTGATATTTTTGACAAAGATAATTCCCTTTTTTCAAAATATTTTTGATGTCTTTTTATATTATCTTGTAATTCAAATTGTTCAAATTGTTCGTCTCTGGGTGAAAGAGGATTATGAGATTCTTGTTTTATAAGTAAACAACCAGCCATTATTCCATTACGGAGAATATCATCTTGCATTTGTAAAATAGTTAGAATCACAGAAATTTCTTCAAAACTAAAAGTAGCAGCCGCATCATCCGATATCAAAATATCTTTAAAATGATTTACAAAACTAGTTCTAAGAAGATTATAATCAATTAACGCATCACTTTCAGACATTGCAGTTGGATGACATTGAAATTGAGAAATCATTTTTTCAGACTTTAAGCAAGATTTATGAGTGAATCTATTACACGGTTCACACCTATAACCTTGATGCATGATTCCCCAAAGTGGTTGTTTACAAATCATACACAAAACCAAGGTAAAAAGGTTTACAAGATGAAATTTATGACCAGCAAGATTTTCCGAAATTATTATTGCTTTTGAATTATTTGATTTTACGCGAATGTCAGAAAGAAATTCCTTTGGATTATGAGATATGTCACAAAACCTTGGAGTAAATAATTTATGAATTCCTGAATCTAATAAATATTCAGTGAGAAAGCCACCATCAACCAGGTTATAACAAGTAAAGTGAACATTTAATTTGCAGCCACTACATCTTAAACCAAATTTTGAAACAGGCTTAAAACATTGAACGCAAGCATTTGGATGATCAGTAGGGATGAATTGTCCGTGCATGTCTACGATTTTAGCATGTCTGGTTATTGTGAGAGAAGCATGTTTATCAGGTTGAGCATTATTTGATTTTGTACATTCATCATGATAAATATAAGGTAAAAATTGATGAAGATGAACGTCTTTGATCACATTTGAAGAATTTCTATTATTTGTGGGTGGTGATTGAGAAGTTTGCGGATTTTCTTTTGCCATCAAGTCATCCAAATAGCCAACGCTCGGTAAGGCTTTTCCTATAGCAGGATGACCTGTGCTATTTCCCCAATAATGAAATAAAATATTAATTGCTTGATTACGACTTGGTGTGTCACCGTGCGCAATTATTTCTATAATGTCATGATAAAGATCCGGTTTGTGTCGAATCATAACGTCTAGTGTTCGATGCATCTGATACAAAGTTTCCAATGAAGAATTCTCGACACTGATAAATTGAATCATAGAATACAAAAGGGGTGTGAACATTGAATCAATATAATATGAATCTATGTCAAGATCGCCAGTGTAAGAAACAGAAAGTCTTTTTGATGATCGATTTAGAGAATCCCTTTTATTACTGTTGTTGTTATTATTAGACTCTATCCTTGGTGATTTTTTAACATCCAAATATTGAATATTTGACGTAGTTATTGTATCGTCAGAATTTATAGTAATATTTATATGTGAAGTATTTTCATTCTCTAAAATTTTAAATAAATAAATAATTAATCTAATTTTTTATCCAAAAAAAATATATATAAACCAAAAGAAAAACATACCATTCAAAAGTCTCCCATCGAAATGATTTAATTTTTCATCAGTTGAATTTTCAATTATAAAATCATATTGACAAGCAACCAAGTGTTCAAGTAAAAAATCGATATAAAAAATCAATAATTTTGAACGTAAAACATCACCAAAGTAATTAAAACCAGGTAACATAGTCATTCCCAATTCGTAAAGCCAAACAGGAGAATAAGGATTTTGATTAACTAAAAGATGAGCTACATCTAAAGTAATAGCTTGTAAGGCATTAGGCGGTCTTGTTGGTCTAGGAGAAGTGATTTTGTAACGACAATCATTATGAACTATGTCATACAGAACCTCCAAAATGGAATTTAGAATAGTGGAACCCTTTTTAATAAACGGAATATCCTGTATATATCTTGATGGTGAAGGTGAACGACCACGATTTGGAGAAGGATCTCTTGAGGAAAAAGGAGATTCTGGTGGAGTTGCTGCCGTTCTAGTGGAAATAAATAAAGATAGTTGTGTTAGAATATTAATTAAAAAACTGTTTTTCGATAAAATAATTCAAAATGACTCGCCTATCACCAAAATTTATTCCATGCATTTCACAAACGATTAAAACGTCTCTAAGTTGGTTTAACAAGTCATAAGTGTCATCAGTGTTAAAAGCCTCATTGTTGTTGTTAATATCGTTACCATCGTCGTCATTATAATTATGGTCAGCATAATAATCTTCTGAAAAACCATCTTCAACGTAAGCTGCCGAATTTTGAAAAGGTGAAGGAGGTTTTTTTCTTTTTTTTAATTTCAATAATATTTGAGTAATTAATTTGCGAGTTTGGTCCACTTTTAAATTTGCAGTTCCGGTCCTTTTTTGTGTTCTATTTGAAGCATTAATAATAGGTGGTGGACGAGTTTGTGAACGGCCTGTTGTGTTGATTTCCATTTTGGAACATAGTTACAATTTCTCTTTTTTTTTTTTTTTTTTTTTTTAAAAACAAGCTACAAACAATTCAAAAATTGTTAATTACATCACTTTTCACTAGGCGTGATATTTAATAAAATTTATTTCTTTCTTTTTCGTCACTTCACAAAAAAAAAATAGGTTGATGATAACAATGTCATGCTATATCCTTCAAATACTAATGTTAGTCAAATATAATGGTAATGAACGAAAATTCTCTTTTAATAAAATAAAAAAAAAATTTTTAAATTAAAATTAAAATCTATAAAAAAAAAATAAAAATAAAGTATTTACATAATAACTAATTGACTAATAAAAAATATAAAAAAATCTATTTTCTCTAATAATGTGTCTAAAAAATAAGAGAATTTGATTGGTTAATTGAAAATTTCCAAATTCAAAAAAAAAAATAAAATTTAAATAAAATTTCGAAAATTTTATTAATCAATAAACAAATTGTCAATCAATTAATATTTAGACAGCGCGAAGTCCCATCTGACGTGCTTTTTGAAAGATTTGAATTCTAAATAATAATAATGATGATGATGATAATAATGATATTTAAATTATGTAATATATAATATAACATGTAATACATGATAAATATATAAATAATACCTAGTTCTATCAGGTTCAAATTCTTTGATGATCAATTCCCAATCACCACTATATTTATCATGAGCAGCCTTCAATCGTTCTACTTCTTCGTCCGACCAAAGTTGTCTTGGGGCACGTCTATGTTTATTAACTGTTTTTCAAACAAGTATAATTATAATTATAATTATTATAATTACTATTTATGTATGATTAGTGTTGTCAATAATAATATTAAGAATAGTGTTTACCATTATTGTTAAATCTGTCATTAAGAACAGCATATTCACTCGTACTTGAACCACTCATAGCCATTCCAGTCTCATTAATGATGTTTAAACGTTCGGTTCCAGGAGTTGACGGTTCAAGGAATAAGGTAACGTTGGTTTCTTTTAATAGATTTGCTATTCCTTCATAATATTCAGCCGATAATTCGAGGCATTTTTTTTGCTAGTTTATTTATTTATTTAAAAAATATATTTAAAATTACAAATAAATTAAATTAGATCTTATGAAGTATAAAAAAACTTACAAATTCATAGAAATTATGAATATTTTTCCGACGTTGAACTTGAACTCTAGGATTATAAGTTTTGGTAACTTTAAACCTGATCTGTGAAGGTGAATGTGGAGATTGTGATTTATTGTCTTCAGACATTTTTCAAATTTAATATTTTTTTTGAGTGGGAAATTATTGAAATTATAAATTATAAAATAAAATATTTTTTGTTTTTTTTTTGATTTAATACTATTTTTCTAATGGTATAAAACCTTTATTTTTTATTGTATTGTTGTACTGAATTATGAAATTTTTAATTTATTTGGTGTGTGTATATATTATATACATTTTGAAAACGAGTGGGGGTGATGAATAATTTTATATAGTAATTTTGTGACACATTTTTTATTACACAAAACCGATGCCAAGAAGCCGATAAAGTGCCTCAGATGTAAGCCCCAACGTCGCGAGTTACCCTTGGTGTATAGGGATCTGGATTTTGTTGGGTGCGTCCACACGTTATACTAGTGTATTCCTCAGTGCAACCAAAGATACTCGCGGGATTTATGGAGCAAATATTGGCAAAAACAGGAATGTGATCAGGTCAACTTTTGCCTTGCGGAATTTCCTAAATCCTTGTGTTTTAAGCTCAGAGAACAAAACTATGTGGTGATTTTCACATAACTATTTTGCAAATTTTTGATGACATTCGTATGAATTTCTTGTGGATCCAGAACATGCATTGACGGAGCTTATGTGAATAGAATTAATCCCCTTCAATTTGGATTATACCATGCATGACAAGCATAAATGATATGGGGCATACTGCAACAAAACCAGGCAAAGTGAACATTGGTATTACCAAGAATTTCAGGGATCAATATTATTTTTAACATCACAGTTGTATTACAATGTAATGCGATCATAATATTCATCTAGACAAAAATAGTTAATATGAAACTCATTTACATTAGGTCTACAATGGAACCTAAGAATTATAGTACCATTAGAAGTATTCTGAAGAAAGAACAAGGTGAAAAAATTGCTCCTTACATTTTTAAATTAGCAGATACCAAATCTTTGCAAACATATTTAGACAAAGAAAGGATTACCTATGAAATTTATCAAGAGGAAAGAGTTTTCAAAAGAGTATTAGAGAATTCTAGTAAAGAATCAAGAAAAAAAAGAAAACTGGCAGAATAACTAAAACAAATAATTACTTTTTTTTCAACTTTGTTAATTTTTAATTTTCAATCAAGGTCATTTTTTAGTTTCTTTAACTTCAATTTGAACAACTAATTGACCATTTTGTTGTTGTAATTGTGCTAATTGAACTTTTAACTCATTGATTTCTTTTATTAATTCTTGTTTAGTTAAGCCTTTTAATTTTTCATTTTCTGCTTCTAATTGCTTAATTCTATCCAACAATTCCTGTTTTTGTCTCTTGCCTCATTCTTCTGATTTCTCTTGAAATTTAACTACTTCTTCCCTCTCAATTTCTAATGCTTCTTCAGTCTCATTTAATTGTTCTTGTAGGGAGTTTATCTGTCTTTTGTAAAAAGTGGACTGACTTATTTCTTCATCAGGTAAGAGGGGAAGTTTTTTCTCTTCCAAGTCTTCATTGTTTCTAATGCAATAACAAGTATTTTTACCACTAACAACATCAAAATCCAGTTTGGTTTGTAATCTACCACACCTATTACACTTTAATAGTTCTCCATCCCAATACTTTTCTTCACACTGTTCACAAACCATGTCATCTGAAATTCATTCCGCAGTTATTTTACTACGGGCTCTTATTTGATGAACAGATTTATTATTTTTATTTTCAAATTTAGAGCAGAAATCACAAGTTTTTTTACTTTCTT